GTGTGTGATTTAATTAAAATCCTTTAATTAAAATTAATTTTGTCATTTTCATATTCCTGTAGGTACTATACGCATGCAGAAATCCTAATACTTGTCAATTTGCAAGCGATGCACGCCATTTAATTTTTATTTTAATTTCTTTAATTCAACGGTATAAAGTAAAAATGGCCTAATTATAGTTGTTTCACCACAGAGGCCCAGGCTCTGCTTGGAGCCCGCCGTCGAGCCTTTGCTCGCGCAAATCTCTCCAATTATAGTGAATTTCTTTCAAGTCGGTATTTAAGGTGGCTCGATACAGTTTTTAAATCGTCAGGTGTATAATAATTTGACAGTTGTAAACGTCGTATTTTAATGTTTTATGCGGCAGATATATTAGGATTTTCATCTATTTTGATGTTTTTTTCTTTCAATTTATGTCAGTTTTGGTAACACAAATTTCGTTGCTATGGCAACAAAAGTAGTAATATAGGGGCCGACGGGCCTTATTTTTGTGGTGGCGGCGTGTGGTGGCGCATCATCATTAGCATAGACTGAGGTGGCGCATTATCATTAGCATAGACTGAGGTAGTGGATCGCATGTGGGGTGTGTTCACTTAATATATGCAATGAGGTCAAGCTTTGGCAAAATCGGGTGAAACTTGCTGATTAGGCAACTTTTAGCGTCCCTCCATGTGTGTGATACAATAGAGAGATTAAGATTGGTTTACTATGATTGGATGTTTGATTTAACGGCCTTTATACAAGCGTATCCGTCCATAATTCTACATTTGACAACGCTTAGGTCTGCATCAGCCATGGAGTGTATACACGGTAAAGCTGCGTCTTACAATTTATTGGAAGGAATATATGCGAATGCAGTCGCACAAGAAGTTGAAAGACTTTGTGTGGAATCCTGTAATGGTTGTCAAGTCGGTTATCTTGGCCAAGGGCAACATGACTGCCTCGTGATGAACGAAAAGGAACGTTGGCAAATGTATGGTGTACAAGCGATCGAACGATTATGGTTTGGAGTGAATTCGTTGAGGCAATGCATGAGGGTACTTAAACTGAGGGTTGACAGAGATGTACTCGAACATTTACAGCAATTGGGAAAAGATCCAGATTCTACGTTTGTCGATTCATTGATGGAACTACATCAAAACACTGAAAGCCACGAACTACAGTGTATGCTAAAAAATGGACAGAAAATTGACATATTTTATTGACTTGTACTATACATTAATTAGTAATGTTTATGACGTAGACATGGCTTGTACGTGGTCATTAAATCGTGACTGTCCTTGCCATAGGACTTAATACCACAAGTAATATATATGTGTGTGTATGTAATTAATTAACTATATCAAAACTAATTACGGGGAGCACCTCGCATGGGACTTTTAGTGTCCCGTTTGTGCTTTTCCGTTTGAGTGTATCTACTAATTTGTGATTTGTGACGTGTGTTTTGTCTTTCGTTTGTCAAGTTTTTATCTTTGTACCTGATATAGTGCGTATGTAGATTGCTCAATAAATTCATTAAATAAATAAATAAATAAATAAACTATTTCTCCCATTGGAAACAAGAAAACCCACTCGAGTCGGTAGCTGAAACATTTTTTTCTTACCTACCTAGTTACATGTATTCTGCGAAGGCGACGTGTGATGAACGATTTAGAAGTTTTGTGGCAGATCATAAGAAAACTTATAAAGAAGTCTTGGAGAAAAAACTTTTAGAACAGTTGTAATATATTTTGCCATAAAAAATATGTTTTTATCAAATATGCGGTCGTTATATACGTTGCTATGAACATGTTACCAGTCATTAATTAGCGACGCTTGGGTGCATGCATATATTAATGTACAACATATTTGTATGCTAATCAGGCTGGCAGAATATAGGCAAATCGCGCGGGTGGGAAAGAGCATTAATAATCAAACTGTCAAACTGTGTTATTGTTTAGTCGCAAAATTGCAAATACGGTATATTTATATAAAATATGTCGAAAGAAACGTCATTGAAAGTTTCAATCAGGCCCCCTGAATAACGACAAGAGGTAGAAAAGCAAGCGCGGAAAATGTAAATGACCAATGTCTTCGGAGAAATTATTTATTTAAGGCAAGCAAAAGAAACGATTACGACAGACTTGACAGTGGCAAAATCTTGGCCGAAATAAGTCAATTGTGTTCAGTTCATTTAGGAATAGAAGTTAGTTCTACCTTGGAACAACTCAACAAGTTTGTAAACCATGTTGACGAAAGATCCAAAACGCAAGCGACCTGATTGCCATAAATATCAAATTATCAAACGAGACATAAACGCGTCTGTGTACGTATTGCCTGTGTACGTATCGAACATAGATCTTGTATATTAAAAACCTCAGTTGCCAATATAAACTGTCTCGTCTCCCGAACGAAGCCGTGTGGTAAAGAAAGCCTTAAAAAGTTCAGAAAGTGAAACGGCCAATAGGTCTGGGCCCTAGGCCCTAGAAAAATCAATCAGTGGCACCTAGTACAATTGGGATAAATAATTGTCCATGAGCATACAGGGCATGTACCCAAATGGGAATGTGTAAATCTTTGTTACAACTGTTACAAGCTGTGTCCACGTCTTCAGACTCATCCTCGGATTTATCAGACTGTGTATCCACATCATGTAGTGGCTGCGTGTGGGCTAGCATTGTAAGGACACGTCCATTTACGATTAGGCTTTTATCAATTTCCAATTTTGCAAGACCTTCAAGAAATATATTCAGTCCAGCCGGTTTGGAATTTCAGTATTATATGGTAAAACAGTATACTGCAAAAGATCTACAATATCATCACCATAGTCTTAATAGTCATAACTATAGTCTTAATAGTCATGACTATAGTCTTAATAGTCATGACTATAGTCTTAATAGTCTTCACCATTGTCTTAATAGTCACGACTATAGTCTTAATAGTCTTGACTGTAGTCTTAATAGTCTTCACCATAGTCTTAATAGTCTTCACCATAGTCTTAATAGTCTTCACCATAGTCTTAATAGTCATGACTATAGTCTTAATAGTCTTTACTATAGTCTTAATAGTCTTTTCCATAGTCTTCCTAGTCATGACTATAGTCTTAATAGTCATCACCACAATCTTCATAGCCATGACAACAGCCAACAGAAAAAATATACCTCTTCATCCTTGCTTTAAATCATTTTACGAATTGAGAAGTAAACATGTCTTATGAATGCGACATCTACGGTAAAACGTTTGCAATTGCGAGTAATCTCCTTCACCACAAGAAAGTTGTCCATGCATATGGAAATCGTAATCTTGGGCAACAAACTCTTACGGTGAATGGAGTTACAGTCGTGCAAAACCCTTTCACGTGCATCGTAGCTGGGTGCACGCAAAGCGGCATTATCGAAATTTGTCTATCATCTATATTGTTCAAAACATATTTCATCAGGGCAAAGAAATGAGAAATCTCAGCCTTAATGCTCATTATATCGTGTTGTCCAAATCACCAAGAGATAAATAGCAAATTTCTATGCTTGCCAGACAAGTAAATCCCGCGCGAGTGCAAGAGTTTATGAGGTTATGAACATGCCACAAGCCGACCTCATGGGTACTTGATGTACTGTTAAATAAACAAGCAGGGGTGTTTTATTAGGTTTAAATTCACGAGCGCGCAGCGCGAGTGGCTTTAGACCTAATAAAACACGACCTGCGAGTTTATTAAACGGCTTCAAACACGACTACAAATTCAATAGATTTACTGCCTTATTAGTATTCTTGATATAAGAAATACTAATGAGGACACGACTACAATAGATACTGCCTTATTAGTATTCTTTATATAATGAATACTAATTAGGAGTGTTTTATCAGGTTTATTAAAGCCACTGCACGTGACATATTATAGTTGACATGATTTGACAATAAGCTTATGAATTATTGATGAATATTTGAAGTTGGATTTAAAGCCAACAACAGACGACCAACAACGACTTAAGACGAACATACTACCAGGGGAAGCTGACGCGTTAGTCGAGTATCTACGAAAAAAGTCGTATCAATAACCACCACTTGTAAATGCAATGTATGATGCCGTAACTTGGCTATGATAAAACCGAAGGAAAGAGAGGGTTATGAACGTTTTTTACTAAACGAAAGACCGAAATATATTCCAATGAAGCATGAAGATGTTGCAAGATTATCACCTGAAGACAGACAACAGTACGAAAACTCTTTAAAAATAACAAAAACACCCAAACGTTATGCTCTTAGAAGTAGACCTTAGTAAATTTTGCAAAACGTTTTAAAAAAGTAAATGTATATTAAAACTGAAATCTTTTGCAAACCTTTGGCTGCAAAGCACGCTCTTTCCCACTAGCGCGATTTGCCTAACCCGCCCGCCTGATTAGACACCAACACAGAAAAATATTTATATTGAGTTTAGAATTCAAAACATTGCATGTGTGTCAATGGAGAGGTTCAGATTAGACTTCCGGCTACCGCTACCATTAAAGGACAATCAATCAATCAGATGCATTTGAACTATCGATTAACCATTCAGATGCCCTAAGCCAGTGGAAAGGTAGTGGTAGCGGTAATGGAAGTCAAATCTGAACCTCCCTAATAACTGATGAGCAGTCATCCCTATCTCACCTGTGGTTTGCGAGAAAATTAACTTGTTTGTGCGTAACTGGTGTATTAACTCATTCCGTTTGATCTGAATTCATCGAATATTATCTCTGAAGTGGCAATAATTAGACCTACCATTGTTGGCTACTTATCTACTTTGTAAGATCGTTGAATTTGGAAGCTATTTCATTGTATAGGTGAGTATTTTGAGACTTTTCTAAATAATATTTGTTGTTCAAGTACAGCAAAAAAAAAATCTCCACTATACAGTAGGAGGATAGGAAGATGATATCGTAAGAAAACTATTGAAATGAAAAAATGTAATATACCATTACCGGAAGTTGGCAACAAATTCTAAAACTTAGCCATAAAATAGTGCATGCATGTCTTAATTCGATGAATAAATTTGACACTTCATGGGTATTGTAATTTCAAAGTTAAACTCAGTGTCGAGTTGATATTAAAAACTACCTCCTCGGAATTTCACATGATTGAGCTGAAATAATTACTAACTGTACTAACTAATTAATTAAGCTGATACACTGAAACTACTAGCTATGTTTTATAGCGACGGCTTAAGGTTGCCCTTGCATGGTTGTCGTTTGCTCAGTATAATTTTCTGGGAAGTTAGGAACTATAGGTTTACCAGGAAAATTGCCTATTTTGAATTGTTTCAACAACAACCTTAACCGCATAATTTGCATTGCTAGGTTTCTTCTTAACTATAGTAATCCTTAATATATCATAGCATCATATACTAGTCCATCACGAACGAAGAAAGGCATATATAGGAATGTGTATTTAACGAATTTTTCTGCTACAGTTTTTGGTTTCATTTTCGTTCAAATTCAAAGGGGTATTATTATGACACAGTGGGAGATAAGTATTATTTTCATAACCAATGATGAAAAGCCAGCAAAATGTTGTTAGAAGACAATAAAGAGGATTTTTATTTTTAACTAAATTGGATTTTTATTTCCTGAAAGCATCAGTTAAAGGAGTAATCATGCTAACACTTGATAGCGATATACTATACCAGTTCTGATCTAGAGTAATCTTCAAAAGTTGTGTGCTTAACTTAACACACCATACATGTTTAATTCCCAGATGGGTGCTGGCAGCTCTACAAGGTCCAGTTCGTCAAGCTCCAGCTCTTCAAGTTCCGACAATTCCGGCCGTGACAGCAAGAAAGATGAAGACTCTGATAATGACTGTGCAACAATGTTATTAGTTTGTTTTTGTTGTTGCTGTGGTTGCAGTTAATCCACATTTATATTCAGGCTTTCTATGATGCTATATCAGTAAGAATTAATAATGCTAATAATTAATGTAAATTCCATAACTTAAGACATAAAGCAAATTCTCAAAGAAAGTGAAAAATGCTCTTCAGATGAAAACATGTAAAATTTTGAAAATACAATATATCAAATATTTTCAATTATAGATGCGCAACAGCAATATCAACCTCCGTCGCAGGGTCTTTCCACCTTCAGCAATATCAGTTAGCGCTAATAAGGCAACTTTAGCCCATTTCTCGTCAGACACATTATAGGTTGCCTCTTTATATAAAATACGTTTGTTTTTATTATAATTCCATTCCTAAATCGTTTCATGAGAACACTCTAACTAGTTCTTGCTGTTTTAACGCACTTGCATCGCATCCGACTTCTTTCTTGAACTTCTTCTGACCATTTTCACATACTTCCTGCATGTGACGTACAACTGTTCCGTCAATCGAGAGAGCAGAGGGTAGCTGGCGGAAGGTGAGACGGATCCAAACTAACATCTGTGTACATGCAAGATTAAGTACTAATTACCCATTATGAATATAGCGCCGCTGCTTGCAGTTCCGACACGAATTACACAGCTAAAAACGATCAGGTTGTTGCAATATTAATGAAAACAAGATTGAACAATGTCGTGGGCCCACATTGTTCACAGTTGTCAACAATGTTGAACAACATTGTTACACCCGATTCAGGCTCAACAATATTGTTCAATATTCTTGACAAGTGTGAACAATGTGGGCCGCACAACATTGTTCAATCCTGTTAAACTGCAGGCTTATAATTTTTACGCGTGTAGTTGCTTCCTACTTATCATGACCAGCCTCGTACCCGTAACGTAGTGCAGAGCGCAGTTTGTACAGAGATGCCTGGGTACGAGGCTGTATCATGGCAGTTACATTTTGCAAGGAACATATAATATATATTGAAATTGATCTACTTTGAAACAATCTCTGAATAGTCTACATAAAATTATTAATATAATTCGTGTGATCCTCAAACTCACAAATATTTGTTCAAATTATAATAGTAATAATAATTTATTCATTTAAATATAGCCGTAGAGTGCATATAATTATAGTTTATATAAGAGGCAATTTTTTTCAATGTCACGTATTAATTAATTTGCAATGAAAAGTGTTCAAAATAACTTTGTTTTAACTTTATTCTCTAGTTCATAGAGTTAGCTGCCTTTTTAAATGCATCTATCGGTTGAGATAAAAATAGTTAAAAATAATAGTTAAAAATTGTCAATTAAAAAGAATTATCAATGATGCTTTAAAATTGACGCCATATTTATACAGCCATATAAGCAAAACTTACTGAACTTCAGACATCATTTTCTCTTTGGCGTACCATCTAAAATCTCTTCATTTTAGTATTATTTTACAGATAAAGCACTAAACATACTTTTTTAATATTAAGTTTGTTTGCCGATTGAGAAACGTATCGAAAAATAAAAATTTTGAATTTAGTCATTACTTCAAGAGATACATAATAGGCATTAGTTTTGAGCGCGTGTTAAGTAACATACAAAAAAAATTCCTCTTACAAATACTCATTCAAAGCGCCGTACATTGTAAAAACCTAGAAATATACATCTAGTGGGAAACAGAATCAGCATTAAGTATATATATATAACTAACAACTGACGCTAAAATATAGACTAGTGAGTATATATCTACGATAAGAATGATAAAATCCTTTGTGGTCTTTAATTAATATACACTACAAAAGGTTAAAATTCTTACTAAAAAGGAATGTTTTCAAACGTTTCTTGAAGACTGAATCAGAGTTCAGAGGCAGAGAATTCCACAATTGTGGAGCCGCATGTGTAAATGGCCGATCACCTATTCATTTGGGTATTGCAGTTTCGGGATGTGTAGCAGTCCTTGATCATCCGATCTGTGATCGCTTGATGGTTTTGGGAGAAATGTAAATATGGGGCAAATCCATCAATTTTGTCTGTAAAATATTAGAAAGACTCTTTCTCATCTTGTCCACTACAACTTCTTTTCAATGTCTGCTGGTTCCAATCCGACCAATCGTATATTACCTATTTGCATTCATTGGACATCGATCCGGCTAGCCGTTATACAAACTAATCCTTCGCGTAAAACGAGTAACACGAGTTGAAATTGCTCTGTTTAGTATATTCAGTATGGCATGATTTGTTTAGAATTCAAAACGTTGCACGTATTTCAATAATTGATGAGCAGTCATCTATATCCCACCTGTGGTTCGCGAGCAATTAACTAGTTTGTATTAAGAAACTGATGTATTAACTCATTCTGTTTGATCTGAATTCATTGAATATTGGCTCTTTAAGTGACAATAATTTGATCTACCGTTGTTGGCTACTAGTGTACTTTGCTAGTTTAGAATAAGATTGTTTAATTTGAAAGCTATTTCAATGTGCAGGTGAGTGATTTTGAAATATTTCAAAACAATTAAAATTTGTCGTTCAGTACTGATAGCTCTATAGGAGGTTATGAGGATGATATCATAAGAATTATTGAAAGTTTGAAACGATATAATCAGGGCGCTTGGACATAATATACTATCAATATATAAACAGAAGTTGGTAACACATTCTAAAACTTATAGCCGTACTGATAGTACATATCTTAATTCGATCACATAATTCGCCACTTAGTATTGTGATTTTAAATTAAGCCCATGATGAGTATCTAAGTCGTCGAGAGTTACTGAAAATCTCCGCGGAATGGCTATCAGTATGCCGACAAATTGAACTGCATGTAATCATTGTAGTAGCTAACTGTTCTACTACACTACTTACACTGTATTTATTTAGCAATGGCTTAACGTCAGTTCTTGCATGGTTGTTGTTTGTTCAGGAAAATTTGAATTTTTTCAATAACAATAAATGATAGCTTTGCTTTGATACATAGTTTTTCTTAATAATTAGTAATTCAATCTTAATATATATATGAGCTTCCACCATAGCATTTTAACGGACCAATTCGCGGAGTTTCAATTGCGCATCCACGCAATGTGTTCTGCGCTGAGAACAATCTAGTTGCAGTTGAACTAACATAGCTGAGACTGGCAAAATTAGAATACGCATATATCAGAGTATATTGACATGAACCGTGTTTAATCATCATTTGAATATGCCAACAGTTGCGCAAAGAACAATTAGCTTCAGCACAATTAGTCTTAGCTTTAAATTACAAATTAAATAATAATCTCTTAGCTTTATATAGATGTGCCTCGCTCTCTTTATTTTGCCTTACACAGTAGGCAAAATATGCTAGGTATATATACAATATATGCTAGGTATATATACTTTGATTATTATGTATTTATTTATTTATTTATTAACTTTGATATGTATGTTCCTCCAGTTCAGCTACATGTTATGATTCAACTGCATGCAAGTTGTTCCTCGTACAGAACACGAGGCCACACGCGAAGTCACTAGCTAGGCCATCATATATCAGTTTCTAATCGTTGTCCAAAAGTTGCATATAGTCCTATAGATGACGCTAGTTGACGAAAATTATTGCTGCACTAGTTGACGAATTTTTCTACCACGTTTTGGTTAACATTTTCATAGTCAAACATCAAAAGCCAGAAAAAATGTTGTTAGAAGACAATAAGGGGAAACTGAATTAGCCTCAAGATGACGAATATCCGCCATTTTTGGATGGCATCGAATTCTCGTTAACCAGTGCAGACAATTAAAACAATGTGAAAAGTAATTTTTCAAAATAAACTAACCATTTACAAACCAAATTTACCATCGTTCGTCCAAAAAATTATAAAAAGTCGCTGTTATGTGGACTTATCTCGCAGACTTCGGCTGAAAACTAAAAAGCCACCCAAACATGGCGGCGTGAGAAAGCCTAATTGGATAATCTGAATTATTATAATAGAAAGCGATAGTATTTAGCTAAGCGAGAAAACAAATTTCATTGTTTTTAAAAATACCCATTGTAAATTTTTCGATTCCGATTTCAAAATAATCTTCAAAAGTTGTGTGGTTATAAAGCACTACATTAGCTTCGCTCGTTTTTTCCCGTCATTTATTCAAAAATCCTCATGCCTTCCATAAAATAAAGCGACTGCTACGCAGACTAGCATTACATGAATGTTTAATTCCTATAGATGGGTGCTGCCAGCTCTACGAGATCCAAATTGTCAAGTACCAGCTCGTCAAGTTCCAGCAAATCCGATGATGACAGCAAGAAGGAAGAAGATACTGATGATAATTGTGAAACAATGTTATTATTGTGCTGTTGCTGTTGTTGTGCTTGCGGTACCAGTTAATCTAGGTCAAGATTAAACTGCATTGTACGACGACTTGCAACTTAAAAAATCCAAGCTAGATATTCCGGGGTGAGAAAACCGTCTTAGAATGGTAACTTTTGTCAATGTTGAGGTTCACAATAGATTTTGGGAAAATTGACGAGCACATTTATAATTGGGTAAATAATAATAATAATTTGAACATATTTAAGGATATCCTCTTCAGTTATTGGAACCTGCTATCAATGGGGGTTATGTGCAAAATAAAATACAAAAAATATATAATGATGCTAACAAAGTACACATATGGGTATACTCTGTACATATCAAAAACATCTATTTCTACTATACATATTAAAAATACCCATTTTAAATTGTGTTTCATAGAATTATATTGTTAATAAACTTATTAAAAATCTTAGCTCCTTTTTGACGTACGGATGTTGCGAAGCAACATATGTGAGTCTTCGTGCTTCGGCTTGAGTGTGGGGCAGTTAAACAATGGGAAATGATCAGCCTGTTTTGCGCGAACTGCACTGTTTGCCTGCGGAATCGGGCCTTTCAGAACCGGAAATCGGGCTGGAGCACGCGTTCGTTCTTTTCGGATTTGGCAAAAAGAAGCGAAATTCGCACGGTGCCCGTTTGCAAAAACAAATGCAAACCGCTTTAATTCTTTCTGTCACTTTCGTTTGATCTCATCTGTGAGTCAGCCTCAACGGCCTTTAAATAAAATGAGCGCTTCGAGCATTCCAGTTTGATCTTTTCTAGAACTATATTGTCGCTGTATCTGGTGTTATACTTACGAATGTCCACAATATGTCTAACTTCAAAATATCCTGACATACTTTGAAACTTTATTATCAATACAAAATTTTGAAGAAGTTGAAGTATTCTATCACGTAAGTTAATTAAACTATATCCACAAATAGTGGGCTTAGTGGCAGAAAACTCCGTACCCTTCGTTATTTGTCTTTTAGGTGTAGACAGTGGCGTAGCCAGGGTAGTTACAAAGTGAGGTGACAAGTTGAGTGCCGAAGGCGAGAACAATTTAAGGGGGTTCGGCGGCATGCTCCCCCGGTGATTTTGATATTTAGAGCCCATGTAACGCCATTTCGTGAATTTTGGGTCGAGATTTTAAATCGTAAAATACATGAAAAATAGTACATTTTAAGACTTTGGACTCTTTAATTTTAAAGCGAGATTTTACAGGAATTTGAAGATTATAACATTATATAAAATACAAGAAAAGTAATACATTTTACGACTTTGAACTACTGATGCAATTTTCATAATGTCTTTTCCTATATAGAACTGTCTATCTTTTTCAAATGGGAGCTTTTTTAGCTGAAAATTGGATTGGTGTTAACCCCCCCCCCCTTCCAGTTTCTCAACGGATTTAAACATAACATAGGCAATTGCTAGATAGTATACTTCAAAATAAGGTTTCCGTTTTTATATCATTTTTTAAAATAACTAATTAGGGTTAGCTAGGTTAGGTTAGGGTTTGGGTTAGCGTTAGCGTTAGGGTTAGTATTAGGGTTAGGGTTTAGTTTTGCGTTAGGATAGTTTTTTCTACGTTATAAAAACGGAAATCTTATTTTGAACAAATCTCGAAGGTGGTTCTGAATGGGGGTGGGGGTGAATAGGCGTATACAAATCCGCCGATCTGCCCAAATTTGAAGCAAAATCCGCGATCCGACAATGGTCTTGTCTAAATTTGAATCCGCTAAAAGCTCTACTATGAAATCACAATCCAGGATCCGAACTAAATTATTGCAAGCTAAATCCACAATCCGAGCCCAAATATTAGATAAATCTGCAATCCGCTAGATCCGAAATCCGAACAATTTTTTCTGTGAAATCCGACGATCCGAAAACCTATTCACCTCCCCCCCTGAAGGAGAATGGAGAAGACTCGTCCCCACCTCAGTCCCCCCGTGGCTACGCCACTGGCTGTGGAGCATGATGCCATCAGCCAAAATTGGCAAACAACTGGCGAAACTCGTCCCGGGTCACAGAGTAGTACATAGATCTCACTTCTGATAAACCGTAAACGTAAGGTAGTTTTTACTGCGCACATCTGGCGGCCATGTTCTTAGCAAGCGCCCTAAAGGGAAGCATTTAACCCCCCTGAACCATTAAATTTCAATATAAGAATACTCCTATCAATGTTCTATAACTTAAAAGAAATGAATTTAGTTCTCAACCAAAGTGAAACATTCTCTCCAGACGAAAACTCGGCGAAATTTTGCAAATACTAAATATATTGAATATTTTCAATAGATGCGCATGCAACAGGCCATATTTTCACCAGAAAAATTCCAGCTAGGTTTTCTTTTTAGATCAAACAGTTTGTTAGTTTATTCCGTTTCTAAATATATTGTATAATTATATAATCTCAGCAATATTGTATAACTGTATAATTTGGATCAAATCTTGGCGTTCGAGGACTGCATTTCGTGCGTTTTCTGAAACAAGTACTTGCATGGTATGTTTATGTGGCACGACTCGGTAACTAACTTATTTAGCTTTCCGACAACTCAGATATATAGGGTCTGTGATATGCTATCGACTTGGAAATTTTTAAAATCAAAGGTATTTACTATTTACAACACAATGTTCAGCATTTTTAAAAGGCATTGAATCAAAAACGTCGCGAAGCCATCGACATTGAGGGGGGGTGGGGGAGGGGGTGGTCGTCATGTTTTGACCAACTTTTCCTAGGATTTTGACCAAGTCGTAAAAATTTTTCCCGGAAATGTTGTCGCGGGGAGGGGAGGTCAAAAACATTTTCCGGACTAATATAGTCAAAAAAAAATTTCCGGACTAATATAAGCATATTCAAAATTTTTCGACCAATATCAGCAATGCCTCCGATTTTTTCACCGCAAACGTAACTGAAGCTTTAAAATTGTTAAAAGTGCGAACCATTTCATAACTTTTAACAACTTAGACCATCTTATATCCCAAGAATAATTTGAAGATAAAAGACTGTCTTTTAGTCTGGACATTAGAGCAGATATTAGGATCACTCCGATCATTTCCGTGCGGGAGGTGCACACGATAACTACGGGAGACCTTATCAAATTTTCTTTCATGATGCGCGAGGGAGATCGATGATTATGCGCACAAAATGCTGGAATCTGCCGCCATGAAATGCGTGATACTCGTTGGTAGGTCTGCATGACTATGTTTGATCGGCCCGACGTTATATAAGGTGTTTGTGCACAGTGTGTTCATTCTAGGTGGTAATAACCCTAGTTGTAGAAGGAATTTGTACTGTGATGGAAAATGTGAGTGTAAATTTCAGCGGCATACATTTATTAGACCAAACCAGCCCAGCAGTTGTAAATAATTAATGCAATTATAGGCCTCTGGTAGCAATCGAACCTGCGGCCCTGCGATTCCAGTGCAGCGTTCAGTAATCAATTAAATCAAATTCCTCATACTTTCAGAGAGCAAAACGTTGTGTATAATCGCCCATGTTTGTTTATTTTAAAATTAAACTCCAATGTAAAATAATTATAAAATATGTATACTTTCAAACACCAAACATCGCGGTTTGCCGCGTTTACTGAAACTTGAAAGTTGAAACTGGTTGTGAAACTTTAAAATTGATAATGTTTTTGACCCTTGACTCGCTGCACTTGGTCTCAACATGCGTAGCCTGCGAACAGGCTCACTGGGAGAAAGGTCTTCGCGCCGCCCGCAACCCAGGGCCTGTTCGCAGGCTACAACATGCGACCCTCGATCGACCTGCCACCCTCGACACTCGACCTCACCCAAACTCTTTTTGCACTGTTGTTACAGCATTTTGCACTGCTGTTTAAGATGAACTGCACTAAAATCAACCAATCACAGTCGATCACATATTTATGTATGTTAATTTTATAACCATAACCAACCACAACCTCGTACCCAGGGCTAGTCGCGAATTGAAGGCGGCGACGTAGCCCTGGTAAACGCTGGTCACGTGACTCCAACATTACGTAATTGTTACTTTTCTCAACCGGGGGGTGAACATGTGAAACTCGAAGACAAACAGTTTTTATCTCCGAAATTCTTCAATCTTTCCTGTGAATTTTGAATTTCAAGCTTTTCTCACAGTACGGCGATCGATCAAATGGATCAATACTTTCTGTAGAAAAAACTCAGTGAGATTTGTTCCAATGAGACGTTTAAAAGACTTGGATATGTCGCTAAAGACGCTCGATCATTGCACAGGTTTATGGTTTAGTACTTTGTTCAGTTTGTTGCGACTTGCGAAGCAAATGAATGCAAATTCAACTCTTGTATAATGACTGTAAGTTGGTTTGTAGAGGGACAACTTATACAAAATATATGAATACATTAGCTTCAAACTAGGGACAAGTTCATGGACATCCCTAATATATGGACATTGATATTTCACCAATATGTAAATATGACTATTAAATATATAAAAGGATTGCTGTTGTATTACTTGTATATGTATATGCACAAGTGTTGTGCTGTGGTATTTACGTTTTTAACCCTTTAAGTGATTAGCCTGCGTCACGACAATGGGCCATCCATTTATGTCATAGTCTAAGTGGCAATGGGCCATCCATTTAATATCCCCCCCCCCCATGGACTAGAATTTCTGAGGGGGTTGAAAAAGCCATTTCTAGGGGTTGTGTGCATCCGTAACCTTTGATCTTTGCATTTTTTTCTGAGGGATAAGGCAAAAATTTCTTAATTTCTGGGGGGTGTTGGTGTCGGCACTTTGATATTTTTTCTTAGGGGGGGTGTACATCGTCCATAGGTGGTGTGTACATTAAATGGAATGGCCCAAAGCACCCAGATGCGCCCTACTTTGTTAGTTTACTCTGTCTAACATCGGACAATTTTACTCATCAGGTGGAGAGTGCATGGCGCCACTCAATGGGTTAACATAGTCGATGAACATGCCAAATGATCCTTGACCGTGGTAGTACATTTTTGCACTTGCTGGATGATATTGCAACCAAGCATTGTTTCAGAGGTCAGGAAGAGCCCTGAGATCATGCTGTGTAGCAATTGGAATCTTGCATAGAGCCTGCTCTCACATAAAGCAGGCAAGACCTTCACTCAGAAGCTAGTCCTGATTAATATTAATTCCCAACATAAACACTTGGAAACCAGACTGTCCCATCTGCCACATGCAGGACAAAAAACATGCAGCCTGGACTTTAACTGTTAAACAACTAAATCAGCATGATAAACAGTGTGATGATTTTTGCTTAGCCCAAACCAAAGCCAGTTTTCTAGAA